CTTGATATGAAGGAATTTTTGAAAAACACTTCAATTTGTGAATGGATAAGTTTGGGGTATCGAGTCATATGTAGGCGAATCTGCCATTACAAAAGTTATGTCCACAAAACGAAAGTTTGTAAGATCCTTTCATTTGATAATAGGTAGGTTCAATTCCTACAGATAATGATCTAGAGGAAGGATGACATATCATGTAGCAGATATATCTTTGAGCTTCAAGACTTTAGCCAGACTGGGTCCTACCATGTTAAATTTCAGTATCAAATATACAAGCATTGGTAAGGGAGGTTAATGGTAACTTAATTCATACTTTTTCAAGCTATACGCCTATTCAAGACTCAGATTCAAATTAATTCTTTTATAACAGGACTTCCCAAACTGTGTACCGTGGCACTCTAAAATGAACTTTCAAATTGTTATTCAACTTGTCTACCTTTGAAGACATTCTTGTAAAATCAACGAACAGAGAAGAACGATTGACGGAGAGAAAAAAAGATTCAAAAAGCATCATCAAAGGGAAGTTTTCTGTTACAGGCTCTTTTCAATCATCATTTCTCTTTTTACATCACCATCAAACAGACGCTAAAAGATCCGGTAAAATGAAAAAAAGAAGGGAAAAGAAGTCTGAATATGATGTAATGAATGCCATCATTTTAAATTAATTTGCTAGAGAGAAAGGGAAACCTTATAGATTACCTTATTCATTTCCGCAGACCTCTTTGATGTTGAGTTGTTGAGTAAGCGAATTGAATCCTTTGACGATGGAAATAGTAAATAAATAAATAAATAAAAAAATATTATTTATAATGAATGCGGGAAACGATCCAATTCAATAAGTTAAGTACTCAATTTATGAAAATTGAATAAGAGGAAAAATCTTTTGACTCTTTCAAATGCTTTCATTTATAGTAATTGGAAAAGTTTTGACTGTCGATAGTGCTTTTTTATGGTTGACAGTTCAATAAAAACTTAAATTATGTAAATTTTGCGCTGTAATGATGCCTTTTGATTAAATTCACTCTACTTAACCTATATTTACAATATTCATTGCATAAATCAAGCCAACCTTCTTCTCCAGTTAATCATCAAAATTCAGAACTTTATGAAATGGTATAACCTAATGGCTGAAATGGTGATGCAATAAAAAATAAAGATGAATTTTTGTGCAAGTTTAGAGGAATTTTTGTGCAAGTTGAGTGAAACTTGATGCAAGTTAAGAGAAACTTGACGCACGTTGAGTGAAACTTGGCGCAAGTTGAAAGAAACTTGATGCAATTTGAGATAAACTTGATGCAAGTTGAGAGAGACTTAATGCAAGTTGAGAGAGACTTAATGCAAGTTAAGAGAGACGTGACACAAGTTGAGAGAAACTTGACGCAAGTTGAGATAAAATTGATGCAAGCTGAAAGAAACTTGATACAATTTGAGAAAAAAATGCAAGTTGAGAGAGACTTGATGCAAGTTGAGAGAAACGTGACACAAGTTGAGAGAAACTTGACTCAAGTTGAGATAAAATTGATGCAAGCTGAAAGAAACTTGATGCAATTTGAGGAAAAATGCAAGTTGAGAGTAAGTCATGTCTGGCTACGTCTCTGACAATTCAAAAGCATCAATTTTTCTATCTTAACCCACTTAATTAATTTAAATAATTCATCTTGACTTCTCAATTAAATTTTAAATCAAGTCAATTGCAGTAAATTCCTTCATAAACGATTACATATTTGTGGTATCAGAAAATTTCTCCCATAAATCACGAAAGATTGTGATCACATTTTTCTTCCATATGTTTGTAATGATATTTTTTTTGAGACAAATGCGATCAACATGAATTTATGAGCCTGAATAAAAAAAAAATTGTAAGCTCAATGACCTATAAAATGTCCATTTTCATTGTTATGTTTATTTGAATCATCTATGACGAAGGCAATTTTTTTTTTGTGCTAGTCGAAACGAGAAGAAATTTTAATGATGCTGTAGTTTGGACATGCATCTCTCATATGCTATACTGTGTGTGTGTGTGAGCTTGAATACGGAAAAAATTCAACAAAATTAAAATGAAAAGCATGCAAAATTGTTTCTTCTGCCTTTTGTGTTTTTGTGCTAGTCAAAAAAAATCTCTTTTTTGATTATTTCTGTGCAGTCCATGCAGAAACGAAAAGGAACTGAAAAATGTGGAACAATTTTTTAAATGTTCAAGGCACGTCCAAGAAACTTTTCTGAAAAATCCAAACTTTTTCTGGGACTAGCTTGGTGCTGATCACTTTTATGAATGTCCATCTCTTCTGGTAAAATGCCCATCAGCACAGTTAAACTTACCATAATCCTCATAAAACCAATCAAACATCCAAAATATCCACTCAATGGCAATCGTCGCACGCAATAATTGAATGAATCTTCATTCAGCTTCACTATTAGACTCTTCATTGATCTGCTGCTCTTCTTCCTCGCTGTTCACACACGAAAAAGTTGTTGACCAATACACATGAAAGTTTGAACAAGTATAGACTCAAAATGTTGATGAACTTTCATGTTGACATACATCAAGCTATGCTTTAGACTCATTTTATGACTGTGGCGCTAAATAAGCTTGCAAAACAGGAACAATAAAGGAAATCTAAACAACACACTGTGCACATGCAAAATGGAAGTGGAAGTGAAGGAAAAATTTGAATGAAAATAGCTGAAATGAGAATGACGAGGATTTTTTTTGGTGGAAGGAAGGAGAAATGGAAGTGAAGCTAGGGAAAGATAGGAAGAAGCAACAACAAAATAATCAAAAACATCACGATGAGTGAGCAGAAAGTTTGTAAATTTAATTTCGCTCCTCAACAAAAGGACGTCCTTGGGAGTTTTTTGTGCTGATTTGTTGCTGAAGCTTGTCTTGAAGATGTCAGTTGACATTTTGTGAAGCTTCTGGTTGAATTTTGAAGAATTTCTGTTTAAGTATTGCTGGACCTAAATTCAATTGTTTGAATCGAGCTTAAATGCTTGATACTAAGAAGCTTTGAGGAAGCATCCACTTCAAAATTCAAAAGGGATCAAGAATCAGTTCTAATTTCCCTAAGGGGCAGCTTCTGTGAAGGGGAAATCCAGTACACAAAGTAATAAGAAAACGAAACTTGACAAAAGAATTTACAGGCCAGTAATTCCTCCTCGCGACTTTCTCAACCCACTTAAATTAAACATTGAAAAGTTTTTTTTCTTTCGTTTGTCTTTTGTTCTTTACTTCCTGTTAATCCTCCACCGTGTCATATTCAAAGAAGGCAAAAGACAATTTTTATTGTAGTCACGTTTTAAAATTATTTTATGATAATGTGGATCCCTATTAACGCAACACAGGCACTGTCTAAAATACCTTTAGTTGATTTGCAATTTTCACCTTCTCACGTGTTTTTATAATGATTCTACTTCCATTCTCAACGTCTGTGTCAAAAAATTTCCTTTTCAATATTTTCGAATCGACAGACTTAGTCACAATGGAAATCATTTTCATCTCAATAATATACATACACAGGAATTAGATAGGAAGGCATTCAGTTGACAGTTAGATAACTTATTGAAATTGTTTGTGAATATTATCGTCATAAATTGATACAAAAAATCGATTAAATTGTGCTTACATTTGGTTTATTTGTATGATTTTGATCTGAGTTTTATGGCAGTCGTAATGTCGATACGCGTATTAATTTTATTGAACGTGACTTTTGGTGCAGAGAAATTTATATTCTGAAGTTTATGTAACTCAAAAGTTTTGAATCTTGGATATGGTAGATTGGATGTTAGATATCAGTAGGATTATTTGTTATTTGTCAGATTTTGACTCATAGGGTCTATAGCAGTGATGGCCAACCCATGTGCCGCGAAAAAAATTCAGGAAATCCAACAAATTGTGTGTTGTCATGGCTTACCGGAAAAGTTTGCCGTGGCAGAAAAAAGGTTGAACACCACTGGTCTTTAGATTCAAAGTCAATCCTAACCACTCCACTCCTGGTTTGGATCCTACTATATGTTGGAGGTCACAGAGGCTAGGCAAAATAGTAATTGCATACTCTCACCCTTAAGCTGGCAATGAATTTATTCATGAATCCCTTACAATTCGCTAAGGTCATAGCTACTAAGTTGCTCCGCTTGTCTATCTTATCATGTTTTGATCAATCTGTCAGTTTACCCGGCTAATTCTCGACTTAGAACCAAGCCTGTCAGTTTGTCCCTTGATATTATGCAACACGAATGTCTGCATGATATTTTCAATAATTGCTATTATAGTTTGCTTTACAAAACTTTGTAATGTTCTCAAAAATTCTTACAGATGACAATAACCTTTATAAAAGTTAATTTTTAAATTGAATAATTTTTTTTGAGCTATTATGCAGGAATTGTAAATGAAATTGATGATGTAATTTTGCTCAAAAGTTTCTAAGAAGATTCAAGAATTTTTTATCGACTCTTAAATTTAAATTATTTTCACTTTTTTTCAAACAATTTTTTAAATTTTAATATTTTTTTAAATTTTTAATTTTCTCACCAAATTTTAATCTAGCAAAAATTATTGAAAGTTTAATCAACCCAATACTTTACTCAAAAACAGCTGAGTCGACACTAAAATCTTGAACTTTTAATTCTGAAAAAATTAAAGCAATTTTTTTTAAATTAAAAAAAAGCCTGACAGAAAAGCATTTACTAGCAACAATTGTGCCGCACAACAAAAAATAAAAACCGCTCAGCGAGGGAAAGAAGATGATGCAACAACCGAATAACTTGCAGCGCCCAATCACGTTTAAATGTTGAGATTAAATTGAATAGTGGTGAGTATAGTCGCATGAATATAAATTTGATACAATTTTTCCACAAAACTTTATTTCTTATCAAGCAGTCACGGTGAACGTTAGTTTTAAAATAAAATTTAATTCAGCACTTTTTTTCTGTGAAACAGTATTTGAGGATTTCAAGTGTGCAGAATTGCAAAAAAAATATATAAAATAAAAAGTACACAAGAAGTGGTTGAGGTCTATAGAATAAAACAAATTTACATTCAACTAGTTGCAGGCAAGTCCAATAAATAAATGTAAATACATTTCCATTCAATTTATGAATGGATCAAATAATAGTGAAAATGGTGAGGAATGAGGATGAATAATGTTGAAATGCGGAAGCAAGTAGGAAATGATTTGGATGATTTAAAGCGCATTTTTCAGTTAAGATTTTATTAAATTTAGGATTACTGGTTCATTGTGTGATGTAAAATAGTTGTCAACTAGTGGTCATATGGAATCATATTAAAGAAGTTTATAGATAAACTTAAAACTTTTCTAAAGACAGTCGGGACCTTATTGTTTGTCCCATCCTCCCTTTCTCACACAGAAACACATATCCCTAGTATAATCTATTGTAGAGTTGGGTAAGGTTAGGTTAGTTCAGAAAAACTGTAATGTAGACCAGTGATGTGCAACCTTTGTGTCATGGCTCAATATTGTACCCAAAAAATTGGAAAGCCCACGAATCGTATGCAGTGTGTGGTTTTAGTCATGGCTTAGCATCAAAAAAGGTTACCCATCACTGACGTAGGCAATTGCTAATCGTGTTTTCCAAGAACATCACTAATTTATGTTGAATAATTACAAGCTATAACTTCAAGTCACTATAAGCACAACATTTCTCAAAATCTCAACCTTTATTCACCAATGGAAACAAAGCTTCAATAAATTCTCATCTGTAAACCCAAAGTTCATCAATATCCCAAATCAGATCTACAGGTGTTGTGCAATATTTACACAGCATCAACTCCCATCAGACAAAATTCCTCCTCAATTTGCAAGCTTTTAAAAAAATAAATGTTCAATTTTTGTTTGCATATTCAAATTGAAAAGCAATTAAGCATCTCTTTCGCTATTCATTCCTTTTTTGTATCTGTGGATCTATAAAGTGCTATAAAGTTGAATGAAATGAGCGAAAGCATGATGGGAGAAAAATTTAATTACAAATTTTTAATTACTTTTCGCTAGGACTTTTATGCTTCGCTGTTTGGCGCAATGAGTGGCAAAATTTTAAAATTTTCCTGTGAATGTGATGTGCATTATGACTTCAAGTGTGTTTAATTGCGTTTGGGGATGCATTCCACAATGATTCAGAATCGAAAAAAATGTTCAAAAATTCAAAAATTTCATGTTAATTAAACTTTGTCTTTTAAATGCCAGATTAAAGATCTTTCCTTTGTGCATATCCTTTAAAAATATCTCGTTCCTATTTGCTGTCTAACTCCAGAAATCATTAATTTAATCTCACCCAAAATTTGTTTACAATTTGAGTATGAAAAAAGAAATGTGATTTTTTCTACTTTAAGTTGTTATTTGGATGTCTTGAAAGCAGTTGCTAGCTAATTTAAGCTTAGCTCTACATATTAAAACAACCAACTCAATAGAAATCTGCTTATTAAGCCTTAAAAATGGAATTGAAATCTGAGTATTTTTACAAAACTTAAACTATTCATAAGTTAAAAAGTCTTCCAAAGACCTCTCTGAAACCTATATAAATCAATTAAATAAGCTTTAATCTATCTCCCATATTACTGAGGACATGCCGTTTGATGCCGTTTTCGAGATATTTGCGATCAAAGTTTACATAAAATTTCATACAAAGTTTGATCATGCACAATATTTTTTGATAAACTTTTACAAACTTTTGATAAAAAAACATGTTTATCCTTTATATTAAGGACTGATTTTTTGAGCAATGAACGAAAATATTATGTAGAAGATGCTAAAAGAATCAAATCAAAAGAAATCAACAAAAACTTTCAATTTTCTAATGTGTCAGAAAAATATTGTGCACAAGGAATTTTTGAACATTTTTTCCGAATCTGAATCATTGTGCATTCAGAGGGTTTTAGGTTTAAACTTTGAAGTTATGTCTTTAAAAATCATACAGCAGTCCTAATTGTAATCTTATCCATCTTGTAAAAAGATGGGGACAGCAACCAACATCATCTTATCCAGATACCTGCAAAAGCCCCTCTTAATGCACCCCTGATTGCAATAACAGCTATGAGCTAAATCTCATCTGGGTTCGTTCAATTATGACGTCCAAATCAATGGACATGTTTCAAAAAAGGACAATAGATTTCCAGGAATTTCTATTGTTCTTTTCTTGCTGACCCCCCCACCTCTGCCCCTTGACGTCATAAATGAACGGTCCCTCTCTAATTTTTTGATTATTTAATAGTTCAATTTTGATGTTTGCATTGTTTAATTCAGTCTGTATGCTTTTCACTCATCCAGTTGTGCATTTGAATTTGTAAGCGTATAAATAGCACAGCAGGTGTAGATAGAGAGTGAAATGAATAACTTTTATGATCAAATAAGGGGTTTCAATTGCTTTTTGATAGTCGATTTGCATACTCAAGCTAGGATGTATGACTAGAGTAGTTTCTAACTTACATAAAAAGTATCAAAAGTCCTCCCATGCAATATGGGGCCGTTCACTTATGACGTCCGACATTTAGGGGGGGAGGGGGGCTAGGATTTTGTGACAGTTCAAACAATAGAAATTTTATAGAATTTTTTTGACAGAGGAGGGGAGGGGGGTCTAAAAATCAGGTTTTTTGATGGACGTCATAACTGAACGACCCCTATTGTAAATTTCTCTTATTCCTACGAAAAATATTTGTACATTCCAACGAACGACATCAATCACAGCAAAATAAATAAACAAGACCTGTAAACAGCACCAAACTTGCAGATGTAAGGCTTGATTTCTTGCGGGGTTTGTGAATTTTCTAAACAATTTTACAATGTCAATAATGTGTAACTGATGTCTGATCGATTGGAATGTAGATACGACAGCTGCAAAGAAGTTTGCTTGTTTCGATTGGATTGAATGTCTATGTGAGGTAGATTTAATAGGATTATTAGGAATTTGAGGTTTTGAGGTGCCTGGTCATAGTAAATTGTTATTTTTGTCAGTTTTGCGTCTGCTCCATGATGAATCTAGAGTGTTCTTTATATCAATTGCAATCAATTCACTGAGCATCGTGTAACTTCCAAATGGTGTCTTACAGAGCATGTGTGGCCTAGGCTTGTATCTTTAATAATCGAGCCAATCACAACTTATAAATAATTAAAATCAAATCTCAAAACAACATCCAATCCAAAAAGTGACGTCAATTTCCGCTCCAACAAAGTCACAAGCTCATCGACAATGCAGCTACCGTTATGAAGCATTAAGTATTAATTAATGCAACTATTTATAAACTTAGTAGGAAGATGAAAGAGAAATAATTCACATGAGCACACTTGCCTTATCACGTGTGTATATTATTTTGTAATAAATACCTTAAAGCTTAACTGCCGTTGATAATTTCAAACTGGTTTTACTGGCATAAATTGATAAGGAAGCCTGAGTGTAGGTCATTTACTTTTTTTTGAGGAGTTTTAGATTATTTTTTTTTTTGAGATGATGAGTTAGAATCACGTGTGATATGAGTGTTGAGTGTAATGAGTTTGAGGGGGTTGTTAATAAATGATGTTATGACTTCCTTGGAGAATGTGTAAAGACAGTTCTATAATTCGTCACTGCACAAATGATGTTAATTGATATTAAAGTTTGTTCCTTACTCATTGTAACACAACTGCAAGCTGTCGAGTCATTTCTGGAGAGTCCATACAATTAGATACCTATTTGAAAGGTGAGAGAGGGTCGATTAGATGGGATGTAATAAAATGCTTCCCTTCTCAACTGTATATAAAATCTAGCGGTGTAACCACTGCGCAGATAAACCTAATAACATCAAGGGAAAAACAACATGATGAGAAAAAACTTTGATAGAAACAGAAGAAAATGAGAAATTTCCTTTCATGCAGGAAAACTATTGAAAAATTAAAATTTAAACTTTTTTCCACCATGTTGTTATCCCCTTGAAAAATAAACAACAATTTCCAAACCCAATTTAATTCCTATATATAAAATATTTCAATTAATTTTCCAATATTCCACAATTATCACATGAGAATATTAAATAGGAAGTGACATAATCCACAATATGCTAACTATACAAAAAAAGTATCAAGTGCATGACGATCAGAATAACCTCATGTAATCATAAAACGTAATCATCGCACTAAAATTAATAATCTTCGCATGTTTGCTGTACTTAGTCTAATTTTTCTTATCACCAGACACAACATTTGTTCAACGTGTGCTGACCAGCTGAGTCAAATTATTGTGTCAATTTTACAAAAAAAAATATTGAGCACAAATTGATTAAATTGAATTTATTTCAAATAAAAAGCAAAAATTTAATTTTAATTCAGAATCGATGAAGACAAAAAAAAGCAATAAATTAAAATATTGTGTCAATGCCCTGTTCAATTCATGCTTCATTATGCAATATTATACACAATTCTCGATTCTCATTTGGAGTTAATTTGCAAACAGCAAAAATGGGGGCTGTTCGGTTGTGATGTTTGTCGAAAATGTGGGATTTTAAAATCTCAACCCCCTCAACATTAAGAGGCCAATCAACCTAACCTCAAATCCTCCAGTTCCTTCCCAATAGATTAGATATCATTAATGAATGCCTCCCAAAAACAGCACAAAAAGCAAATGCTTTCATTTTCAATTCAGCACTTAATTAAGTTGAATTTATGGATCATAAAGTTACAATAGCTACAAGCTAGGAAACAGCACAGTTAGACAATATCATGGGAAATTATAAAGAAAATCCAATTTTAAAATCTAAGCATGAAAAAAACTTTTCTATTTCCAGTTAGTTCTGAGTATGAGAATAGTTTTGTGTTTACAATAATAACAATAAGTGCCATTAAGATGATAACATTACACCTATGGATAAAGAAGAAAAGTTTTTTCGGATACTGGAGGAAAAAAAGTTACAAAATTCTTCTTATAAATTTCATTTGCAGTAGATGAGAAACTTTCGCACAAGTTTTCTTTTCTTAAGATCAAGTTTAAATTGCTGCTAGCTGTTCTAAAGAAATTTTAGTATTTTTGCTTTCTTATCTTTTGAAATAGAAAGTACAAAAGTCACTGGAAGGAATTTTGATAGTGCGGACCTTTTTTGTGGGGGAATTTGATGATTTATATTTGGGATTTCTGTTGATAATCGTATGGAAATTGAGTGCTTGATAAGAACTAAGCTAAATGGGTTAAAATTTTATTATTAGCTTTGTAATTCCGAGCAGTAGCTTTAGGGGTCTTTTACTATAAGGCTGAAATTAACGGTCATTTTTCAAAAGAGAACTATGGATTTCCAGGAATTTCAAGTTGGCCCCCCACCCCCTAAACGTCATAAGTGAATGACCCCTGTTTAGTATTTCAATTATTTTATAGTGAAAATTTAAGGAGTTAAGGGGAGAGGGGAGTTAAGCTTTACGTTTAAGGTCACATTTATAGCCCTCTTACATTTGGCTTAATAATAATAATGATTGAAGGGCCCAGCCTTTCAGCTGCAGGCACTGCGATTCAATTTGTGAAGAATCTATTGTACCATACCCTTTAGACCTATAGTTGATAGTAGAATCCGAACCACTTGCATTTACACTTACATTTGGCTTAAGACAAAAGCTTCAACCTGAGCTCAAAATCGACTTGGAATTTATATCCAATCTGTATGGAGGATTCAACTCAACTTCGAGCTCTGTAAATGACTTACTTACTTACTTTATTTCGCTGGTGATACAGAACAATTGTGATCCACGACATCCCTTAGATGGTGTCTGAAGCTAGCTTCAGCTTGCCAATTACCAATACCAAATGCAATACTGTTTCTGTCAACAGCTTCTTTCCAAGAATTCTTGGGACGTCCACTTGATCCTTTGCCATCTCCAAAAGCTCTGTTAATGAATTCTGCTAAATTCTTCAATACCCCTTTATTCATAAATTCACACCCCTTTCACATCCAAACTGCTCTAACTTCAACCCAGCACACCAACTTTAAAATGCTCTTAAAAATTACACAAAATTGTGATCATAATTTTCAAATTGTAATCAAAATTTATGGTTTGGAAATAAAGAAGAAATGAGAGCAAAAAACCTTTTTATATAGCAATCTATAAAGCATCCCAATATCATAATGAGGTCAATAGCACGGTCGCGAAATGTTTAGTGTGTGTTTATAATCAGCAACGATTGCCAACATTGTTGATTTAAAGTCTTTTTAATGAACATTAAAAATGAATTTCAAAATTTTATTATTTTCAATTTTTTTTTTTCATTCTCATTGTAGATAACGAGTCGTTGGAGACAACCATAAATAGCGAAAATGTGCGGAATTTTTGCAATATTTGGCAATGAATGCAACGATCCACAATGCCAAAATGGCAACATAATGAACGGACATGGAGATGCATTAAGTAGCATAGCGAGAGGAAAGGCAAAGGAGCCATTAAGAGAAATGGCTTACAGGTGCTCGAGTAAGCAACGACATCGTGGTCCGGACAAAACAGGTGTTGTGCATTTTAAAGACGAAAACATCATAATGGTTCACGAGAGATTAAGAATTATTGGTGTTGCACATGGTGATCAACCGCTGCAGTCAGACGATGAGAACATAACAATTGTTGCAAATGGCGAAATCTACAACTTTTTACAAATCTCCGATGAGTTATCAATGTTTTACAACAAACCATATGAGGCGAGAAGTGATTGTGACGTCATTATCGGTTTATATGAGAAATATGGTGATGATTTGGTGCACCATATGACTGGAATGTATGCATTTGCATTATATGATCGTAAAAATAAGAAAATTGTTGCAGCACGCTGTCCCTTTGGTATATTATCCATGTATATTGGTGAGGATATGAACGGAAATATTTGGATTGCAAGTGAGATGAAGTGCTTGGTTGAGATATGTCCGTACGTTCAAAACTTTCCCATTGGTAAGTTTCCACACACAATTGTTTTGTGTGAATGGATAAACTTTTTTCTCTACCTCCTCTACCTTTCCTACACCTTGCATGCTGTTGTTGATTTTTTTTTTCTTCTACATAGCACTAGCTTGTTTTCCCACGTGTAATGTTTCGTGCTGAAAACTAGTAACATATAAAAAATTTAATGCTGAAGATGAGAAACGGAAGGGAAAGGAGTGAAAAAAAAAAGTTTTTTTTTTTGGTGAAATAAATAATGAAATTTATCAGCATTCATATGTATTGGATGAAGTAGAGGTTCCAGGTTGATTGTGAGAAAGCTTTAAAGCTTTTAAGTTTGTTTTGATTTTCTGAGGGTTTTTGCTGATTTAACAAAAGTTACTTGGCTTCATGCAGCAACAGATTTTGTAGATTATTTATGGGATGGATGGAAAGTTGGGCATGCTTAGCTTTTTACTTGATTACCCTTAGATTTTAAAAGTCAATAATTGAAATAGAAGTTTTTATAATACATAATTGATTTTAAGACATGCTTAGTCATGGCAACAATTAGCAAAGCACAGCTTTTGGAAAACACGGCTCATCCAAAAATGACATCGATTTTTGAAATGTTTTCAGGCTGTGGTCAGTCCGTAGAACTTAAATTTTGACATTTTCTATACTTAAGGGCTTTCAGAGGCCTTAAGATTAGTTTCTGAATAGTAAGATATCAAGTTATATTTAGGCAAATCTGCCATTTTAAAAGTATGACATCGGTGGTATGGCAACTGACCAAATATTTGGAATCCTTTTTAATGAATCCGTAGGTTCAATTCTCACCAGAAGTCAATATTAGAACATTACTTTTATTATTATTTTTATCATTTATTACTCGCAAGGAAAAGCCACATTACATCCAGAATTGACATTGATCCTTGTTAAATCCCTACTTACTATGTTTTGTCCTGTGTTTACGCTACTAGCCTTCTTATTATGACAATAAAGCTTCAATAAGTTCCACAACAATGCAAAAAAAAAATCCTTTTCATAAAAACAAATCACTCACAATTACTATCGACACTCCAGAACCCCTACCATCCAATCTAGAGAGCATAAAGTGGTAAAAGCTTCGTAATTTATCTTTATACAAACATTCTTTATATCAATTTACAATTCATTTATATCTTCAAGTCTCTCGTGTGCGATGTGTGATGAAATGTGCTTGTGGATGGATAAAAGATTTCAATGGGAACTAAATTTTCATCTGTAAATTTTTCGAATGGATAGTTTGATTGTCAGAATCATTTGCTGCAATTTTCTAGAGTCCTTCCATTTTTATCGCATTAAAAATCGTCAACAAAAATCCTTAAAAACTCATAAATTTCCCCACTAATTCCAATCTGTCTCTCTTTATAATCCACAAAACAGGAAGTGTATTTAGTCATCAACTCGGCACACCCAACAAGTGGAGATTCACTAAATATTTCAAAGAAGATTGGATGACAAAGGTGCCAAGCTTGCAAGTCAACCTCAAAGAATTCCGTAACAAGCTCGAATCAGCTGTTCGCTCACATCTTCAATGTGAAGTTCCGTTCGGTGCATTGCTGTCTGGCGGCATCGATTCCTCCCTTATTTCATCAATTGCAACGAAAATAATGCGAGAAAAAGATCCAAACTATAAATTGCAGACATTTAGTGTCGGTTTAGCTGGTGCACCAGATTTCAAATACAGTCAAATGGTCGCCAACTATATTGATAGTGAGCATCATGAAATTCATTTTACAGTTGAGGAAGGACTCGATTGTATACGCGATATCATATATCATTTAGAGACATACGACGTTACGACAATACGTGCATCCATTCCTATGTTCATTATGATGCGATACATTAAGAGTCATGGACTAAAAATGGTGTTGTCTGGCGAGGGTGCTGATGAAATTCTCGGAGGCTATTTATACTTTCATAGTGCACCAAATGCAGAGGAATTTCATTATGAGACGGTATCGCGTGTGCTAAATTTATGGTCGAGTGATTGTCTACGTGCTAATAAATCAGCATTGGCATGGGGCGTTGAATTACGTGTGCCATTTTTGGATACTAACTTTGTCAACTATGCGATGAGCGTGAGTCCAAACGATCGAATGATAAGCGATGGCACAAAGAATATTGAAAAGTACATTTTACGTCGTGCATTTGAAGGCAATTATCTACCCGATGAGGTTTTGTGGAGACAAAAAGAGCAATTTTCCGATGGTGTCGGTTACAATTGGATCGATACAATTCGTTCACATGCAGGAAGTCACATAACAGATGAGGAATTTGAGACAGCAAAAGAGCTATATCCATATAATACACCATTGAGTAAAGAGGGCTTCTATTTTCGTCAAGTATTTGAAAGAATTTTTCCAAATCAATCATGTGTCAAAACCGTAAAACAATGGATACCACGAAAAGATTGGGGATGTCCATCTGATCCATCCGGACGCGCACAAAAGGTTCATGTTGCGAGTAAAAAGATTATTGAAAAGTAAGCTACTTTTTTTCTTGTTTTGTTATTCAGTGCTGTTGCTGAATGTCTTCCTTTTTTGTATTTGATTTATTTTGTTTTGTAGACTGAAATAAAGATTTGATTTTACACACAGAACAAAAAAAAAATATATAGAATAGAAAATCAGTTTCGGAGTGGAGAGACAAGAAATGAACAATGTTGAATCTGTAAGGATAGAAAAAGAAGAGGAAGTAAGGGAGGTGGTTTGGGTTGTTGGTGGCTGAAGCGCTAGTTTTTAAGTCAACTGGTTGATGTTTTGATGGATTTAGGATGTTTGAATTAAAATTGATTTCAGCGTGATAATAATAAAAGCTAGTCTAAGCAGGATATAGGCTAGGCCCTTGCTTATTAGCATGATTTAAGACAGTCAACAGTCAATTTGTAGAAAGCTATCTGCACTCGAATTGAAAAAGGATGATCTACAGCTTTAGGTTTATATAAGAAAAATACTGTGGCTTAATCAGAAGCATCATAGAACTTACCTCATACTTACATCCTAGACCCTAGCTTAAGGCAACCTAAGAAAAATCTAAATCCCAAAAATTTCAATCCTATAAGACAAAATGTGACTCAAAACTCAACATCCACACACTTTCAAGCATCTTTAAAAATAAAAAGTTTTCAGGCAAGTCTTTGTGCTTTTGAAAATATTTCAAACCAATTTTTCTTCTCATTTTTCGGAACGTAGAAGATTTTTCTATAAAAAAAAAATGTTTTTCAAATTCCTAATTTCCTTTTTTTTCTGTCACACAAAATTTCTCGGCAAACAATTTTCAAAACAAAACAAAAAAGCTTTTATTCTGTCTCTCACTTGAAGGCATTCTCTTGTCACAATCATGCTAGATTTAATGTCTGATGTTGATGTACGTTATGTAAGATAATAAAGGAGTCTCATCAATCTGCATTATGAGAATGAAATGAGCAGAATTTAATCATCATTATTGAATTTCAGATGGATGATTTTTTTACGGTTTAATGTGAAGCGTGCATTAGGGATAATGAGTGTTTATGGGATGATGCGTGGAATGGGATTTTTGATTTTTGAGGTTAGGACCCAGCGCCCCCATCTAAGATTTAATTTAAAAGGAGCATTTTAATGGAAAATTTGCCGAACCACAAGTAAGAATGTTTGCAAGTCAATTTTGCAGCTGTTTTACATCCAAACCTCAATATCAATCCAGGCGCGTAGCGAGGAGGGAGATTTGGGGGATAAATCCCCCAATGTAAACAGAAATTTCTTTATTTTGCTAAGGTTTTTATGAAAAAAATCACAAAAATCCCCCTCCCCCCCCCCTTAAATTTCTCCATACAAAAAAAATTTTGCCCCCCCCCCCTCTTCAAATTCCAGGCATCGCCCCTGTATCAATCACTTGAACCAAATACCACATTATTGACTTCCTGCATCCTCACAACTAACACGCAACAATTCAAATATTGAATTAAATTCAATCAAAATAATGATGACGTTTTAATTGTTTAAATGATTGCCGATAAATCTCATTTCAAAATAAAACTTGTCGATTTCATAAATCAGAACTGTTTAATCATTATTAACGAGAAGCATATTTTTGGGTAAAATGCTGAATCATCAAAATGATTATAGGCTTATGAGAAAATTAAAATGATTTCAATATTTTTACGCATAGTTGCAGATTATCAAAATTATTTGCTTTTAAATATGTTAATTGCTACAATGAAAGTCAATTTTAAATAAAATTTATTTATTTGATGAAAATGAGAATGATTTGGGGATATTTGAAGTAATTAATGGCATATAAATATTTTGATGTGGAATTTTAATGTAGAACTGTAATCAGTTTGATTTATTTTGAGGTTATACTGTAGAATCATAATTTTGAATGCGATTTAAAATACTCAGATTTAATGAGAAGTGTTGGAATATTGAGGCACACATTATGTTGATGTCCTAAAACGGGTAATCAGGTGTGAGACTATCCCGAACAGCACAAGTCGGTTAATCGAATAGAAATCCGGTGCCAAGCCGGCATGACTCTGGCAAGGTGCTAGCTTTGATTTAAATACAGCATCATTCCAGAGTCACAGCGGATTGATGCCGGATTTTTGATCAATTCACTGACTTTTGCCATTGAAGTAGGAATATTTTTTTATGAAGAATGATTAAAGTTGCTCATTTAAAGGCCTTAAATGATATTGCATTGATTGGTCAGAAAGCACTTCTTTAGAACAATACATTTTATAAAGTGATACACTCATAAAGAAAATTGGAAAGTCCATTAATGTTAACATACACTATTGAAGGACTGGTGGCGCTGTAAGATGGGAAGGGTAGCCAGTGTCATAGCCACATCCCCTCTGAAGACTACAAAACCGTTAAAAATGAACAAAAAATGATTAATCAGTTCTGGCTACATCAATAAGGTTTTCAATTCCATTCAAATAAGTGCCCAATTCTTTTTGGGTAAGAGCTTATATTAAGACTTAGCCTAAGGTAACCAAAACACTTTCAGCACCGCTACCTTTAGCTGCTGATAAGATTTAACAACAATTCGATCATAAAACGCAATCTCAAGCACTTCCAACTATCCACACCTCCAATCACAAATCACTGTCAAACACAGTGACAACATCATCACTAAAATCTCTCGTAAATATCCCACCTTCAATCACCTCCTGTCCTTAACCCATAAACATCAAGACACTTTTAATTACGACTTGAAACCATAAAAGTGAAAAGTTTCGCAGAAAAGCCGCAAGAAAACTTTTCAATTTTACAGAAATCATGCCGTCAATTACACGCTCTTGAAAAACTCAAATTGTTTCTGACTCAAAAGTTTTATGGATTCTAACATTAAACTTGTCACTATGGATATGAAAATGGTAATTAAATTTCGCCCTTAAACTGAAGAAACTTTGAGTTTTACTTTTTTTTTATTAAAGTCCACGTGACAACGTGAAGACGATGATGTTTAAAGCACAAGAGATTCTGCCGAAAAATGTGTTAGCTGTACAAAAAAAATACAAGGTTGAGTGGGATGAAGCATGTACACCGAGTAAGAAGTGATGAAAATATTTTTATTACAAGTCTCACGGCAATTTTTATACTTTTCTTAGGCATTTGTGAGATTTTATTTTGTGATTCTTTGCAGGATGCGTGGGTGGATTTATTTACTTTATGTCTTCTTGTCTGTCGTATGTTTCTACGAAGCTTGGAAAATGCAGCATATGAAAAAATTCCTAAATTTATAAAATGTTGATACGCAGAAATATTTGTAAGGCTGTTAAGGCTATCTTGGGTACAGCTAGTGATGGATGGTAAAGGACAAGTGAATGACGCTGCCACAGTACCACTCCTAAGCTCTTAAATTGACCACAATTTATAGAAAATGATTCAGAAGGAGAACAACTCTCAGTAAAATTGATTCTTCAGCAATTTTCTGTTCTCCCCCTGAAACGAACCTACTAAAATAGAGTCATATGCTGCTTCAGTTAAATAACTGAATGGCAAATATTATTCATAATCATTATAAGCTGTCACATGATAGCTAAGTTGATAACCTCCAAAAAAGTCACTGAATAAACAACTGTCCATACTGTCGATTTGAAATTATTGTGTCAATCGGGAGATGTCTGAGGTTTTTCATCCCTGATACTGAAATGTATAGTCCCATCCCCATCCTACATAACTTGATCAATGATAACGTATCCATGTGCCGCGAAAAAATTTGAGAAATCCCACGAACCGTATGCCGTGTGCGGTTTCGGTCATGACTCACCATCAAGATGTGCCGTAGCTCAAGAAAGGTTGGGCACTCCTGGACCAGATCCTAATTATAAAATGCTTCATAACCTCAATTACTCGACATTTTTTCCTTACCCCATCATCACCTTTCCTCTGTCCCTTCCTATTACTTCCAACAAACAGCTTCTAAATGAGTGAGAGAATCAAAATAAAAAAAAAGTAGGAAAAAAATCTAATAAAATTATATTTTGTCGAAATAATGTCGATTGTGTAATTTAAATTTAACAGCCATTCTTGCAGCAATATCACAAAATTGTAATATCATTTTTTATTATCGCACAAAATGATATTAAATAAGATAACCTTGTCGACGACGATATAAAGAAATTAAAAAGGCATCAGGAGCCATTTAAATGCATAAAGGCACGCGACAATAAAAAAAGGAAAAGAATGTAAGGAAGCACACACAAAAAAAAATCACAAAAAAAACGGCAGTAAGTATTGAGTAAGAAGCGGATGTGATGACAAGTGAAAACGCACGAAGATTGAGGGAAAAAAGGAAGATCATCATAAAAAATTTTATTCCTCATTTCTTATTGTTTGACGTTAAACAAAAAGAAACAAGTCAGAAAATTAATGGAGGTGAGTAGTTGGATGGAATGTGAGGCTAGCTTTGGACTTCTAAAGTAAACGTGACATAAAAATTTGACCATCTATTTCTAAGTTTTATTTCATACTATGATGAACGGTTGGATTCGAACCCACAAATTTTGATTAATTTAACAAATTTGTAACTTATAATATGAAATTTATTGACAATTGTCGCTGTTAAATCCAACAGACAACATGAAAGTCCTGATTAACAACTGACTCTCATCACAAAAGCATCTCAAATTATCCAAAACGATAAAAAGTAATGAAAATGACGAAGCAGCTAGCAGTGACTAAAAATTGAAACAAGCGGATGCTATTAAAATTAGCGCATGATGAATCTTACGGAGCATATGGAAGCTCTTTTGTTCACTTGTCACATTGCAGTCATCATCTAAGGTCCTTTTTTTATAATTCTTCTTCCCTTTTCCGCTCATTTTTATGTCAAAAAACATGGCAACAGCAATGAAGAAGTGATTATGTGAGCTGTTCGAGAAGATGAAAAGTGAAAATTTATGTTATTTGACTCAAATTGTCGTTGCCATTGTCATTGTAGCATGAAAATCCCGTTCATTTATTGCATGATTCATTTCTTTCTTACACTTGTGCCTT